TATAAACAAACCTGGAAAACATCAGTCTCAATGAAGGAAGCCAGATAGAAATAGCTAGACATATTGTTCTGTTTATATGACATATACAAAAATAGGCAAATCCATAGAGATAGAAAGTAGACTATGGTCACCAGGAGAGAGAAGATTGGGTAATGGAAAGTGATTGCCAGTGGGTAGAGAGTTCTCTTTGGGGTAATACAAATGTTCCAGAATTAGATGGTGATAACTGTAGATCTTTGTGAAATATGTGAAAAACATATTTCACAAAGATTGTATACTTTAAAAGGATACATTGTATGTTATGTGGATTATATCTTTTTAAAAATATATATGTATGGGCTCTAACCTAGGTGTTTGAATTCCTATCTGAATTGTTGTGAAACAGATACATCTAGTCAAAGGGTGATTGCCAATTTCAAAATCTATTTAGAGATAAAAGTGATCCAGGGTTTGTACTCTGACTAACTTCATGTTCAGGAAAATCAATGTTGGACTTCCTCAAAATTGTCTCTTAAGAACAGGGATTCTGCCTCCCCACAGATTAAAGAGAGCAGAAAGCCCAAGAAGGACGCTGAAGCTGATGATGACCTCCATGTGTCAGGACTGTTCTGTGTAGCTCCACCTGTTGTGCACCAGTCACATACATTATGATGTAGTTTGTGCCTCCTTGGACCCATGACACTTCAGTGAGAACACCACCACCATTTGTTATCACAAAGCATTTTATGACTGTGAATGAGAAGTATGCTTCATAGGAATCTCTCTAAATAGTCTTCAGGGTACATATTTAGAGTAATACTCCTCAGCCCAGAGGAAAACTGAAGTGGTGCTTCTGGAAGCATTTACAATGAGTTCAATAGTCAGTTGTATATCAAAGTCACGAGAATGAACTGATGTCTTTAAACCTCAGGTCTGAAACGATTTGCAGGGACTGCCTATGTTCCAAAGCTTTCCATGTGCACTTTTACTGCCTAAGCCTCCTACTTTTAACCCAGAAGTAAACGTTGAAAAAGAAAATTTATTTTGCTTACTGTTTGAAGGAAAAGGTTAAAAAATGGGATGTCTTATCATATAGCCTATAATTATTTACTTTATGGTTCTTTTTACTAGGCATCCAATACAATTCCATTCATCCTAGATCACATTTAAGATTTTCCTCTTATATAGATACCCAAAACACAGAAGGGATCTACTGAAGACAGCTTACCTTATATTTTTGTCATGGTGAATATTTATGAATATCTGATAGCTCTTAACCTGTCAGATGAGTCTTCTTCAGATCTAAATAAGCCTTCCTATTTTACGTAGTTTCCTATAGCAGCACACAATATTTCTGCAGTTGCTTCACTGGGAGGACTCTGTCAACAATCAGCATTTCACTGGCATTAACATGCAATAGAAGACAATGAACCATGACTCAATTAAATCATAAAAAAAAACTGTCTTCAGATAATATAACCCAGTAGTTTTCAAAGCTTTAGATGTTGTGGGGCTTCTGCTGCCTGACTAACATTAAGGTCAGAGCTTTGAAAACATATGCCTAAGCACCTACCAACACCTACACATAAGATGATTTAGAGGACGGAGCAAAGTTCTGTTTTGATTTATTTCCTTCTCATACTGTATCCAGAGATTTTACAACTTATAGCATGTGATATCAATTAGGTATCACTACTGCAAAGAGTAAGAACACATTTTCCCATCGCGATGTCCATGGAAATATAATTTGCCCAGAAGATACAGTTAGGGAGACCTATCGATTCCGATTTGTTTAAAACAACTAAAAAAGATTATGCAGGAGGGGTGGCTCAGAAAAAATATGTAGGCGCCCACAGTATGAACTAACAGGACATCTGATATCTGGATATGTCAATCAACACATTCCACAGTCAGAAAGAGTCTTGTAATAAAATTGTTAAGGTTAAGAAAAAAGATGGAGCTCTTCTAATATGTAAATTTACACATTTATGTCTCACTTAACCAGGTGGACTGGAGGAATGGAGGGGTTCCTTACAGAACCAGAGGCTTTCTTTTTCTTTTCTTTTCTTGACTGTACTTGAAATATTTAACACTCTAGGTTTGAATCTTCAATATTTTAGGTTTGATCTCATTCAACACTTAGTCATTTCAATTAAAATTGCTCTCCTTTCTCTCATTAAACTAAACCATCAGGAAAAACTATGTGATTTCACCAAAGTAAAGACAAAATGGATTCAAATATTAGATTGTAAAAATGTTAGAAGATTTCCTTGTTGAGGAAAATTATTAAAATTCTCTCGCTTCAATTATAACAAAAGGCAGAGAGAAATGGCCAGGGACATGTTGAACTCATGGGTAAATAGTAAAAGAAAATGCTCTGGCACATTTAATATATAATTCATAAATTCCATATCACTATTTTAAGCTGTGATTAATACAAATTCATTCAAGATTCAATTTTTTTGTAAGAAGGCTATTATATATGCCAACCAAAACAGAATCAAATAAAAACAATCATTTAAAATAGATCTTTAAGATAAATTTAAAACATTTAAGGCATCTTTTTTAAAACTGTAGGGATTAAAATATATATTAAAATCACAGGTCAATTGAAGAATTAACAAAAATGTTGGCAATAGAGTGTGACTCTATGCTAGCCCTATATAATCACTTGTTTATTATATTCAGAAGCCATTAATATAAAATGGAAACTGAAAAGAATTTGAAAATTCAAGTTATGAAGGCAACTGGTGAGGATAATTTAAAAGAAGGAATACTTTCTCTGTTTGCTAATATTAAAAGATTAATATATTAATCTTTTTGAAAAAATTACTAAAAGTTTACTGGTGTATTAGTTTCCTTTGATGGCTGTGACATATTGCCACAAATTACCACAAACTTGTGGCTTAACCAACAATACAAATGTATTATCTTACAGTCCTGGAGGCTCTAAGGAGAATCCATTTCCTTGCCTCTTTCTGCTTCTAGCACCCACCCTGAATGCCTTAGATCTGAACCCTTCCTCCGTCTCTAGAGCACATCACTTCAACCTCGGCTTCCATCATCATATCATCTTTTCCTCTCCATATTCAAATCAACCCCTGCACCTCCCTCTCTTACAAAGATACCTCCTGCTGCATTTAGGGAACACCTGGCTAATTCAGGTTAATCTCCCCATCTCAAGATCCTTAACTTAATCAAACCTACAAAATCCCTTTGCTATAGAAGGTAACATTCACAGGTTCTGGTGATCAGTACATGGGCATCTTGTAGGGCCATTGTTTAGCCTACTACACTAGTCCAGAAAATATATTTTTAAATCTTCAACCTAAGAGTTACATAAGTGAATGCTTTATTGATCAGCTTTACTTGGCATATGTCATTATATTCCAATGGGAAGTAATAGCATGGTCAGGCTGGCTCACCATCAGTACCTCTCAACAGAGAGTCTGCTTCTGAGAGTATCTGTGTGGTCTTCTGGGCCAAGCTAGAGACACTGGGCAACACAGTGAGGGTGGTGTTTCCTTTGAAAGATAGACACAAACTTCACAGTTACTATTTACATAAATAGTACTAGTATGTGTATATTTTGTTTAGTCTAATCAATTCATAAGAAATCTAGATTTCAAACTAAAATATACCTTTCAAAATTATTCCTAACTGTTCAGGACAATTTTTAAATTTTTTTCTCTTAAAAAAAGTGTTAATTTTTTCTGGAAGGCAGGACTGGTAGTGCATCAAAATCATACAGACTTTGGAACTGCAGCTCTAAGCTTACTAATTCCTAGGTTCTGTGTGATCTTTGGTAGTCAGATGCTTAACATTTTTGATCCTCAGTTATTTGTGTCTAAAATGGTGATGCAAATACGTATGCTACATGTTTATTGTAAGATCATTAGTTTTGCTATGATAACTGGCATAAAACAGTTGCTAAATATTAATTAACGTCCAACTTTTATATTAGAAAACTTGTCTATAAAAAGTTCACAGTGAGGGCACAGTGGTACACATCTATAGTCCCTGGTACTCAGGAGGCTGAGGTGGGAAGATCACTTCAGCCCAGAAGTTCAACACTGGCCTGGGCAACATTGTGAGATCCCATCTCTTGAAAAAATACTAAGTGCACAGTGAAATAGGATCAACTTAACTATTATTCAGTATGGTCTACAGAATGAATTCAGGCACCTGGTAAATAAAGTAACATGAAAATAGTAATAATTTCATTAAACATTCGATAATAGTATATATCACAAATGTGAAATATTAAATGTAGTTACCAAGTTTAAAAAGAGTCAGATATTTGTTAAATTAAAGTGATCATTCTACTATTTAAAAGGTTATTTGCTTATTTCATTAAATTATCACTGAGCTGGTAATTTTGGCAATCCTAAACCTCTTTGTTTTTGTATTATGTCATTTCAAAATATGTGTATTAAAAATGTTGGCAACCCCCCTCAATAAAGAAGTGTGACTTAAGTATCAGAACAATAACTTTAAGAATTAATAGGATGGATGATATAGGTATTTTTCTAGATCACAGAAGGTTGGTAAGAAAATCCACATTCTGAAGTGTAAAGTAAAACTTCCTTTCTCCTACAAAAATATTTGAAGCCATTCTCCTGAGATATGTCTACTCTATACATCATTCTTAAAAAGATAAAGAAGCTGATAGAGCAACTGTCCTTTCCAACACAACAGAGATCTCAAATATGCAGCAATTGGTCACTAAGGTGCTTAGAAGCAGTCTAGAGTTTCTCAGATCTCCATAGGATATGTCATTAAATCTTCTCCTCCTGCTGGGTCTGACTTCTGGGAAAAAAGCATATGGTATAAATATTACTATATTTGGTAGTGAATACTAATGATTGCTCAAGAGGTTCATCCTTCAGTTTCTATGGCCTTTAGCATCTAGTTGCTTATAAATGTGACATGCTTTGATTTGATTTAATAATCTTTTTGAATTTATGGTTCAGAATTCACTGTACAAAATGTACCTGTAAAGTCAGATATCCATATATATGGAGACACATACACATTTATTTTTGGAGTTATCCCATTAACAGATTATAAAATTAAGGCAAGAAGACCAAGACCTTTCCAAGGCACATTTCAAAAGGTACTTGTTCCTCTAAAATCAGTAGGATCTGAAAACAGATTCAACACAAGTATACACACACACAAACACTTAGACATAGAGGTTACATATAGTAACAATGTTTTTCTATAGTGAGAATTGTAAAAGCTCAATGATATTACATGAACTCAAAAACTATCAATTTCTATATGAACAATATCCTAATTATTGTGTGGAACAGCAGAGAAAGGTGTTCTGAAATGTGCAGGAATTAAATGATCTGTACCCAAACAATAAATAACGTGTTCTATGTTATAATACATTTGTAAGTGAATTTCATACAGGTCATGTTACACAGGTCATATTAAAAATAATTCCAAGGAAAGAGTTAAGAGAAATTTGGTTAAAGATATAATTTCACTCCACATGAAAGCTTTCTAAAGTTTTATATAAAGCTAATTATAGTAGTTCAGTATTATAAGAACAGGATGTGTTACACTGTGTGACTGTAATACTGCTGTGTTCCCTCAGATGGCATAAATCACTTGGCTAATTTGGCTACTAACAAATAGTTAGTATAAAATCTTATTTACCATGGCCAATGAAAAAATTCTCAGCAGTTGGATACATTTGAATCAAATGTCACTGTAAAGATAAGACGAAAAAGCTTCCATTATACATTCTGTTCAATTCTAATATATCCATAATGAAAGACTCCATAATGAAAAATAATAGAAAAAATATTCTGTATCAAAACTCTTTGTCAAAAGCTATAGTTCACATCAGAAGTTAATAGCACTAGGGAGTTAAATGATTAATACAAAAACAAATTCTTACTACAAATATTCTTTTGTTCTTCACTTACCATGATGCAAACTGCAAGGATTTAACCTTTAAGGGTTAAAGAGTTTAATCAATGTCAATGTCTGATCTTCTGAAGGCGATAAAGAACAGTCTGTCTAGCGATACCCAACAGAACATCACTTTGTCAAGCCACAAAGCACCCAAAAGCTTGTCAAGTAAGTTACCAGAAACCTCTTTGTGGTTAGAACTCAGCTCCTTCCTGCTTGACCTATTATTTGATATTTGACCACTTGGTTGCAAGACACTTGCTCTTTCTAGCTGAAATGTCACTGGGGCATCTTGTCAGCTCCCCGACATCTCGGCCTGACATACAATTTTACTTTTGTGTGCTACAAGGCAGAAAATGCAGGGCAATGGCCTTGTTTTAAATTCTGTCAGCATCAAAGATGGGCGTCACTCTTGGGTCCTACCAACAACAAAAACAAAAAAGGAGTCTATTTTGAAGGTCAAAACAGCCATTACCTGGAAGTTTTTCAGCTTACACTAAATATATTACCTGTTATCCTGGTGTGGGAACTGTCCTTATGAAGTGCCTAAACATACCACAGAAATCCTCCAGCACAATTGCTCTACTTTCTTATCAAATGCAGACTTGCTAAAAGAATGAGTTTTCAATGCCTGCAGGGACCAGATTCAGCAGTTAACTTAACTTGTTCAAATGGGCAAGTGGTATCATGTAGCTCTACAAGGAGCAACCTGACCTTCTCACATTGACCAGGAGTGACATTATTGTGCAGGAGGAGAAGCAGTCACATCATTTCTGTTTTGCACAACCTGCTTAAAGTTTGCAACTAAATGCTTGTCTTCAGTTGAGCTGACAAGAGAAAAGAGGGGGCTCAGTGAACCATGGCCGGGCTGCCATGAAATGACAGGAATCATTGGCATACATTTCAAATAGCTCTCTCAATCCTATTAAAGCATTGCAGTCCTGCTTTAAAATAGACAAGTATGAAACAACTTTGATAGATAGAGACTAAAATGGCTTATTGATTTTTTTAAGTCTGAGGGAAATTACCCAAAATGTGTCATTCCTTAACATTTAAAAATATGTTACATAAAAATGAGCAACTGTGATAATAAATAAAACTTGGAGAGAAAAAAGTTGGCTATTTCCTTATTCAGGGAGACAGAGCTACCAGAATACATCAAGATATAGCACAAATTTTTTAAATCTACTGTCACTTCTGCTGAAACAAAAGTCAACTGATAAGAAAATCCCCATTCAAAACCATTTTAATTGTACTGTTAACTCTTCCTTCATTTTTTAATTTCATGAAGTCATAATCCAATCTGAGTTGGTCTTTTGGCATTAGCAGACATAGTCACTGGAGAGGAGTGAGATGATGTCAGAGCATGGGGCACAGTATTTATAAATGTCTCCTTTAAGAAAGTGTAAGTTGTATCAAGCTCAGCTTTCAACGGTAAGAAATCCCCAACACCAGTTGTGTCAGCAGGAAGAGCAGCTCTTGAAGGAGTGGAGAGATTTGAATGGTCTCGTGATCCTATCTGTGACATACAAAAGAAAAAAATAATAAACATAGAGTTGAAAACTCTCAAACAGAGCCTAAAACCATAAACAGGCAAGTAGACTAATAATCATTATAATGTAAAATGAGATAGCAATTACTATTTCAATAATCTGTATGACAATATATAAATGGTAAATTATTTTCCAAGTGTGATTGAATCCCTTATTTGCTCTTTTATGAACTTTTCTAGACAACAGGAGTTTGCCTAAACACTAAAACTTTGTATAAAACTTTGAATAAAGTTATTGTATCAAAGTGTCAATACAATAAGAGATTTTTACCTTGACTTCAGTCCACTGGCAATTTACGGAAACTGATGCTAGCATTTATTTCATTATGCTATATAAAAAGTGCCATATAATACGAAAGATTAGATTGCTTAGAAACTATCAGTATGTATGTTTTTAAAATCTATCTGTTTTACTTATTTGACAAAAGTAGCACAAAGAAAAATAAGCCAATCCCAGTGACCTCTAGAAAATGGCACACTGAGTGAGATACAAAATTCTAGTGAGAACTTTTCACCTTTACCTTTAATAATAATGCCACCACCCTGTTTTTTTTTTGTTTTCAACTTTATTATTTTAGGTTTTGGGGCATACTTGTAGATTTGTTACACGGTAATTCCTCAGGTAAGTCACTGAGGTATGGTGTACTAATGATCCCCTCAGCCAGGTAGTGAGCACAGTACGCAAGTGGTGGTTCTTTGACCCTCTCCCACTCTCCCTGCTCTAGTAGTCCCTGGTGCTCAGTGTCTACTGTTTCCATCTTTATGTCTGTGACACTACCCTATTTTGACAAAGACCATTATAAGTATTTAGAAATCACGCGTCAAAATAAGGGAATGAAAACAATTTGTTATATATTTGAGAACACTGATGGTATCCAGAAACTGTTGAGAATTAAACTTAAAAATGCCACATAATCATGAAATACTGGACAACAGAATTAACATTTTGATAAAGCTACATATTTAAGTCTTAAGTGACAGTGGTATCTAGTAGTTAATATTTAATGTGAAGAAAGTCTTAGCAGTAAAGCAGGTGTGTATTATTTTAAGACATTTAAAGATGGTAGGAAAATAGTGATCAATTGTTTGATATAATTTTCCAGATTTCCAGAAAATAAATGTTGCTGACATAACCAAGTCTGGCTATAAGTATGTCCACTAAAATTCATACTCTATATTGCAGGGTTGCTTTCTAAAAAAAAAAAAAAAAAAAAAATTTTAGTAGATCCTCTTACAGTTTTGATAACAAAATAATTTAAACTATAAGGTCTGCTTTATTATGCCATGTTATACAAAACTGTTTCTACATGTAAAAACAAGAGGCAAGCTATCACCGGCTTTAGGAAAGTATTAGAAATTCAACTGTTGTATGTGTTACCATTTTTGTGGATTTTTTAAAAACTACAACTGGAAAAAAATCAATATCTGCATCTAACACCTAGTTCAGCAATTTTCTTTGATCTTTGTTCTTTTGATTTCTTCATACTCTACTGCAGGCCTATAGCTGATGGAAATCATCTCTTTTTATGCTGGAAGTTAGAAAACACCTAAAATGGTCACTTGAAATAGTGCTATGAGGGACAAGGTTTCCCAATGGAAGGAAAAGAACTTCCAAAATCATGTGTTGACCCTGATTAGTAGTATTAATGAGGTTTTGCTTGCAGACCCTTAATGCTGGGCCTGATCATGTCAGTTCAGAACCTGAACAGAGGCATCTCATTGCATCAGAGGCTAGAGGTGTAGATGCCTGCCTTTTTTCTGCTGCTAGAATCATTTTTTCTGATTTTTCCCCCAGTGATGCGTCTGAATTAACAGGGTCATTACTGGATTGACTTTGCAGCTATAAACATTACAGTGCTGTCTACTCACTTCTCATTCTGCCAGACCTGGGGGTTAGGGGAATGCTGGAAAAGCAAGAAATGGTGGTGCCTGATTTTCTTCTTAATAAACCTAGTTATAGCCATAGGACTCTTTATTATAACAGAATATTGTCAGGAAATGCTTCAAAAGTTTGTTTTGATACATCTTTATACTCCAAGTTCTGGTCTAAGAAAACTATGTTTGGAAAATAGAGGGGTGTGCAGAATCAGTCCAAGGAAGGTCAGCTATCCACTGGGGGTATATTCTTCTTGATGTTTTAGAGAAAGGTAACTATGCCAAATTGACCAACCACTCCTGTTTTGTCAATATTAGTGATATTCGTAATTTACTCAAACCTGTATGCTGTACTTAAATCCCTTTTTGTTCTTGTGAATCCATCAAGCTAACACATTACAAAGTTAGGAAGGCAGTCCTTTAGGGAGAGTCTCCACTAACTGCTCATTTCTTTTTAATATTCTACAGATCTTAGTACCCTACAAAGAGGCCCCTGTTTTGCCTTTTTTCATCCTACTTTTTCTAATATGTCTACTTTCCACTATGTTGTCTGAAAGCACCCTTTCATCTAATATAACATTTTTTGACTAAATAACCTTGAAATAGGGTGTGATTTCCCTAGTATTTCAAACTGGTCTCGCTTTTTGCACACTATCTTCTAACCTTGTGTCCTAAACATGGAAAATAACCTAAAATCTCCAGAGATTTAAAAAAAAAAAAAAAAAAAAAAAAAAAAAAAAAAAATTAAAAAAAAAAAAAAAAAAAAGAAAGAGAGAGATATTTCCTTAAAGTCTAGTACCCCCCAAAAGATAGCCTCTAGAAAGTAAACAGAGATACTATTGTATGAAGGAAAACAAATGACTGCTTTTGCTGCTGGGATCATCTGCTGTACTGCTAGAAAAATAGCTTTTTTCATGAAATGAGGTAAAGTCTGATTTTAAGTCACTCAGTAGCTTAAAAAGAAGCCAGCAACAATTCTGGTGAAATTTTGATTTGAGAATGTAATGTTAAAATAACAAGTAAATATGGACTAGTTTTCTTTTTTACAAATATCCAGAATAATATCCAGAAATATGTAACAATTTTGTACTATTTTAATGTAACACAGAGAGTAAAAGACAGTTAAATAATTTTTTGTCAGAGAACATTTAAAGTTAGTATTCACCACCTGACGTTATATTTTAAATCTGTAAAGCCCATGGTCATATAAACTACTTTTAAAACTGCTGAGGTATTCTGTCTCTTACGTAAATCTAAATTTAGGCAGTTTTTCAAACGGAAATTAGTTACCTGAAATAAAAGCTAGGTGTCGTGTGAATCTTTATGGAAGCACTTTTATTTACTCAATAAGCTGTAAATGATTCTATTTGAACTGCTATAGTCCATCAGCTAAATACATATTCACAATACAAAATGTGTCTACTAAATTTCTACATTTAAAAAATCTTATGAAATACAGTAATTGGACACATCCAATAGCCATTTTTAAAGGCTTTAATACCTTAATTTTCTACAAATGTTTTTCAAACAAAAATAAAGCATTAGTCTAATAATAAAATAAACACCCAATAAATTGTCTATAAGCCGAAGCCTTTTTGCCAACCAAGGCTTCTGAAACTAAGCCATTTGTCTCCTGTGTAACATTTATGCTCAAGTTAAGTCTTCTAGAATTTAGTATTATAAAAAGTAAGGAAAAATGTGATTTAGTAAGCCTCAGTAGTATTGCATGGAGATTATGCTAAGCACATAGTGTGATGAAAAGAACACTAGACTGAAGATAAGCAGACTAGTTTCTCCTCACAGATCTTTTACAATCTGACTGGGTCATTTGGGACAGGTAAATTAGTCCATCCAAATGAAGGGTTGGGCTCTTTCCAGCTCTGAAATTCTACAGGTCTGCCATAATTCCATGTGTGACATCATATACTATTTACCCTAACTTTTTTGAGTGACATTAACCCAAAAATCAGTTTCCCAAATATACTTGAGAGGATATAGACAGACCATTCTTAAGGGGAAAGAATACATATTGCACACTGCACATCATTATAAAATAAAAGCCAAATAGGTAACAAGATAAGCCACAATTTAAATGATGTGGCTTTATTTAATTAAACTCTATAGTACACTTTTCATTACTTCAATCTCCATGATGATGTTTTAACCCCTGTAAATTACTGACTGCTTTTAAGTAGCCTGCACAGCTCCACACAAACAGATGAAGAAATCAAAACACCCATAAGAGGGTCTTACAGGGAGGCTCCCTTGTCATTTCTACTTTGCTTCCTAACGTACTTTTGCCACTAGAGTCTCAATACAGGTATTGATCGACTTACGACCACGATTGGTTCCAACAGACTGGTCGTAACATGATTTGGTCATAAGTTGAGTAGGCTATATGTATAGTACTGTGAAATGATGTTATAAAAATCTTTAAGTCATATTTTATCATAATTTTCTTTCATTATTGTTATATATCATAATTTCCTTTGTTCATTTTATGCCATTTGTATCATCTCTACACCATTTTGTTTCTTATTTTTATATTCGTCAGGTTTAAGTAAAACACTTCATTACCAGTACAACTGGTTTAATATTTGCAAAACATACAAAATTACAAGATACAGGTGCATACAAAAATACAAAATACAGGTGTAAAAAATACCATAGGAAACATTTTCCCAATTGCAAAACATATCAAAATATATAAACATGTACGAAACATTTTATTGGGCACTGGTGCTTGGCTGCGGATCGTTGATGTCGTCATCTGAGGCAGCAGTTGGGGTTACCAGAGTTGATTTTTTCATAAACCTGGTGAGCTGTGTCTGAATTGTATGTTTCTTTTTTTTCTTCATAAATTTCACGATACCTATGAAACACATCGTGTGCCATCCGTTCAATCCTTGCAAATTGTTCAATGTTTGGGTCCACTGCTTCGAAATGTATAAGAAGCTTATTCAGTAAAGATAAACCGTCTGATAATCCCTTAGTGGTGAACTTTTTTTCTGGCTCCTCCTCTTCTTTCTCTGCTTCTCTTCTTTCTTCTTCCTCCACTCTTTCTTCTTCCAGTTCGATTAGCTCTTCATTTG